TCCCAGTCGATTGTGTATCTCGGGGTGGAGTTGGACGCCTCCCTAATGAGAGCACGTTTGTCGCCTGCAAGAGCGGCAGATCTCTCCACGGTGATCTCCCGTGTTCAACCCCGCAAGATCGTGAGAGCCCTGTTAGTCATGAAACTCCTGGGCATGATGTCCGCAGCCCATTCAGTAGTGCCGCTAGGTTTGCTGCGCACGAGGCGCTTGCAACGCTGGTTCGTCCGCCTACGGGTACACCCAATACGTCAGAAGAGACGTATGTTGAGGATTCCCCCTTCAGTGGGCGGGGACCTCGCTCACTGGGGGAACCCCTGCATCCTCTCACGCGGGGTTCCCATCGGACGTCCTGCGTCACACGTATCTGTGTTTACGGATGCGTCACTGTCGGGGTGGGGGGGCACGTGCTTGTCCCACACGGTGGCAGATCGCTGGCCCTCCCACACGCACGAGCACATAAATGTGTTGGAGCTTATGACAGTGAGGAATGTGATCAGACACTTCGCTGCCCTTCTCGAGGGCCGTCATGTCGAAGTTCACACAGACAACCGGGTAGCGGCAGCCTACATAAATCGCCAAGGGGGAGTTCGATCCCTCCCACTGTTGCGTGTCGCCACAGATTTACTGTGTTGGACACATGTCCACCTGCTGTCCATCAGAGCCATCTACATTCCGGGGGTACTGAATGTAGCGGCAGACATCCTGTCGAGAGGGGGACCCCGCGACTCCGACTGGCGTCTACATCCTGCACTGATATCACAGATCTGGATCAGGTTCGGGGAACCGTCTGTGGATCTGTTCGCGGCTCGCGAAAACGCTCAGTGTCGCCTGTGGTTTTCCCCGAGTCCCCGGGACGGACCCCCGCTCGGGGCGGACGCCTTCTCACACCAGCCCTGGCCTCGAACGCTCCTTTACGCGTTTCCACCAGTCCCTCTGATTCCCCGTCTCCTGGACCGAATTCGGTCGGAACAGCTCTCGGTGATTCTGGTGGCTCCCAGGCGCGTGTCCGCGTCATGGTTTCCGGACCTGCAAGCGCTAGTGTCCGGCTCCCCGTGGAGGCTCCCGTGGATGGCGGACGCCCTTCTCCAGGCGGATGGGATAATCAAACATCCTCCGGAAATAGGCCAACGGCTGTGGGTCTGGCCGCTGAGCGGTCACGCTTAGAGGCTTCTGGGCTGCCGCATGATGTGGTGGCCACGATTCAGAGTGCGCGGGCGCCCTCTACCATTGCCTCTTACGCTGCTAAATGGGCAGCTTTCCAGAACTGGTGCGCAGAACAGAATGTTCAAGCGCTCTCCTGCCAGCTGGCGGATGTTCTATCGTTTTTGCAGATACTGATGGACAGGGGCCTCGCATTCAGCACTGTTAAGACATATGCTGCAGCTATCTCATCATGTCATCAGGGTTTTGGAGATAGATCTGTTTTCAATCATCCCCTCACAAAACGTTTTCTAAAAGGTGTCAGAAGGAACAGACCTGTGTCCCGCCCGCTTTTTCCCCAATGGGATCTAACGGTGGTTCTGCACGGCTTATCTGAAGCTCCATTTGAACCCTTGGACCAGGTCTCACTCAAGTTCCTGTCGCTTAAAACTGCATTGCTGCTGGCGCTAGCATCAGTTAAGAGAGTGAGTGACCTAACCGCCCTCTCAGTGGCTCCCGCATGCCTCAGGATCCGGGAGGATGGCGGGTCTGCTGTTTTATGCCCCAACCCAGCCTTTGTGCCCAAAAGCATTAATGCTTCCTTCAAATCCAGGTCAATTTCATTGGCTGGACTTTTTCCTCCTCCCCATAATTCTGAGGAGGAGGCGGCTTCTCACCTTCTCTGCCCGGTGCGCGCGCTTGCACGATATGTGTCACGCACTTCAGGGATTCGTCGCTCACAAAACCTGTTTGTGCACTACAGGGAGTCTTCCCTTGGTCAGGCGCTGTCGGCCCAGCGCCTTTCACGCTGGCTGTGTGACGCCATTTCTCTCGCTTACACATCATCAGGGCGGGATTCCCCTGAGGCACTCAGGGCTCACTCAGCCAGAGGGATTTCCTCTTCGATGGCGCTGCTCAGTGGTGTGTCAATGGAAGACATTTGTCAGGCTGCTTCATGGGCTTCACCCTGTTCCTTTACTCGTTATTATTTACGAGATGTGTCTTCAGGTTCCATCACTCGTTCAGTGCTTGGACCCCAGCAGGCTAAATGAATGCTTATGGCACCTCATTGGCCTTGCTGAGATGGATTTTATCCTCTTGTGGATGATGTTTTTTAGTGGGGGCCCCTCTCTTATCGTGCCTGCCTCAGTCTTTAGGCCTGGTCTGAGGCTGAACGTCCCCCACTAGAGGAGATTTGATTGGGTGTGTCCATTGGTTGTGTTAACCAGTGGGGCGTAAACCCATCCAGCTGCGCCTTATTCCAATAGCAGCTAGCTTAAGGGCTAAGACTAGACGAAATAGAACGTTGGTTACGTATTGTAACCCCAGATTCTATGAGTCTAGTCGCAGCCCTTAAGCCACTGGCCCCACTGGTTATGATGGGAATAAGAGCCTTTGGAGGTGAGCAGTGGGGTCACTGCGGTTATATACCACGAGGGGGCCCACTATTGGTGGGCGTACATTTAAGCTCTTCATGATTGGCTGATGCGGAGATCATCCTTCCAATAGCAGCTAGCTTAAGGGCTGCGACTAGACTCATAGAATCTGGGGTTACAATACGTAACCAACGTTCTTATTTGCAACTTTACATGAATTTGGTTTTGGGAACTTCTTCATTAACTGGCAACAAACATTGTACAATTCACCAACAGCACGTGTCAGGACAAACAACCAAATATCAGCTAGCTTCTGTCTTCAGAGGGGGACCAGGCAGGGATGCTCACTCTCCCCCTCACTGTTTGCTATCTTGATCAAACCACTAGCAGCAGCAATTAGGCAAACTACAGATATTAAAGGCATAAAGTGTAAGAACATAGAACACAAAATCAGTCTTTATGCAGATGATTTGTTACTTTTTCTCCAGAATTCTCAATCCTCTCTCTCTCTCAAGCAATAGAACTGATAAACTCTTTTTCAAGAGTTTCAGATTACTCAATAAACTGGTTAAAATCCACAGTTCTACCAATTAGTTCGTCTTTTGTCAATTTGCTTAATACACAATTGAGAGGGGGCTGGGGCTTTTCTGGCTACAGTCTCCCTTGGGTCCCTGCGCTCTGGGGCAGCTCCTGGATCTTTGGGACTTGGAGCTCCCTCCATCTCCTACACATCTTTGGCGGCAGATCTGTGTCCCCTCACACTCTCTTGGACGCTCCTATAGAGAAACCTTACATATACCAGTGTGTGTACACACACAGGTGCTCACATGGTAGAGGTGAAGGCTAGACTGTCCGAATTCAGAGCTGCTGGGTTCTGGTCTTAGCGGTCTTCAACGACCCGGTCTTGCTAGACCCACGAGGACCCGTACTCATAAGCATCCTTCCTGTGGATTCGGACACACCCAACGTCACTTCTGCAAGCGGACTCGGAGCCTCTACAAGATAATGCATTTTAGCCTGTATTTCTATATATTCTGCGGACGCTGTGCGACTTTTTCATTTGTAGCACTCAGTTTCAGCTCACACTGTGCGTCTGGTAGCAACACGTCGGACCTAAAAATGCGCTAAAAATAGCAGTTTTTACACAACACGTCTGACTTTTTATTGTGTTATTGATGTATGTTGTCCCTCGGGGTTTCTGCAGGAGGACACAGGTATTTATGAGTGGCGGAGGAAAATGAAATAAAGTAAATAAATGTTTTGTGATCAGAAACATGCTTTCTGGACAATCCTTGTTATTGTGTGAGAAAAAAAGTGTAGAAATTAAAATGGGCTTGTGTTAATGGGGAAACAGATGGCGAGCGGTTTGTGCCTGCGCTGTGAGCGGTTCTGGTGCTGTTTGGGCCGCAGCCGCTCGCATTTGTTTACTGTGAAGTAAAGATGAAGTGCTGAAGTTTCGAAAACTAATTTAGAATAAAACTTGAATAACTGGCAGTTGCTTGCTCATTTTAAGAGGTCTTTCATATTTTATAACATGCTATTTGATATAATGGTTTTCAAACACAAAAGGGTAATTTATTAGAGTACTCGATTCATTTATAAAAGATTCTATAAAGTACTCGATTACAAAAATATTCGATAGCTGCGGCCCTACTTTTCTACATTTGTATACAAGATTTAAGACTGTGGCAAACATTGTGTGTTTTCAAACATAAAAATGTCCCTGAACCACCAATTTAGATGGGCAACTTTGTGTTTTAAGTACAGTACCATGGCCAAAACCCAGACCTTAGTTCTCTGATTTCTTTTTCATAAGAACTAAATAAGGCTCGGTTTGTTGCCTTGATGATTTGTATAGATGATGGCCGAGCAATCAAACATCACTTGACATGAGTCCCAAAGACAGATTGCTATATATCACATGATTCTTCTTTTAGTTTCATGTAAAGGATGAAGAAAGAATCAGCTGCAAGAGGAAGATAAAAGTTCACCCTCTGCTTCTTTTTTGTCATTACTTCCTCAACATGGTGGCAGATTTGTCAAAAGTCATTCATGACTCATGTTTTAGGGCCATGCTCTTCAGATGTGTGGAACTTGGCCCGGGTTGTAGAAGAATGACTTATCTTCACCAAATGTTGCAGCTCGTCGTCTCCCTGCTGCTGCCGGTTAGCACATTAATGTGACAGCAGCATAATGTCTGTCTCCTTTCTGTCTTCTGGTTCTCTGGTAATCTTATTCCACTCATTTTTTCAGCTGTCTCCAGTCTGTCTAGTCGAGAACTTGTCATTTTCATGAATTGAGGCCCGGAGAAGGAGATTAATTCTGTTCTGATGAACAAGATCCATTTTTAACAAATGCCACTGAAGTTAAGATTCTCTTTGGTGCCCGAGTTAGTAAAGACTAACAATCTCATCAGAACGCAGCTGATAGAACGCGGTCATTATGGCACTTTTTCATAATTCACCATTTCTTCTCTCTCAACAGGTGACTATGTGTTGATGACGGTTCACTTTGATCTCAGCAGACGCATGGGCTACTTCACCATCCAGACCTACATCCCCTGTATCCTCACAGTGGTTCTCTCCTGGGTCTCATTCTGGATCAAAAGTGATGCCACGCCAGCCAGAACTGCCCTAGGTATGGCTCTACAGACGGTTAAAGTTCGGGTTTCTTCACTACCACCTATGGACGTAGTTTTTGACTTCAAAAGTGTTGGGGTGGGTGGGTTGGGGGGGGGGGGGGGGGGGTAATAAAACTACAGCCTAGAGGCTCTTTTATGCAATGCCAGGAATGCAGAGCTGTCAAGTACACAGGTGGCAGGAACAGCCAATCACAGAGACAATAGATGAGCATATGGACAGCTCTAAAGGGAAACAGGCTTTAACACAAGCGGCCGTTTCCCACCTGGTCCTATTGCTCAACCAGTGTCTATTTAATATAGCATAAGTGCTTTTGGATGGTAAAAAGTGCAGGGGACTAATTAGACTTTGGAAAAGTAGGGGGGACATGTCCCCCCCGTCTCCCCCATTATCTACATCCATGCTTCCACCGACTGTTGATGTCCAAATCTAAGTAGAATAAAGTGTTTTTCCAACCTTTAAGTTGAAACGTTGTACATAGTTGTTGAGAATACGTCAGTCGTAGTCTTCATTTATCACATCTTTAGCTTGATTGCGGGTTCTTTAGCACCACTTTTTGATTGGTGCATCTTCAGATGACCTAATGTTATTGTACATCAGTGCTGCTTGTTTTCACCATCATATTCTGTTCTCTCTCATTTGCATGCCAACACTTTTGAATTACTTTCCTCTCCACTGCATGCCTACCATCAGTTTCTTTGCTTTCACGTGGATGGTGATCATTTGGGATAAATCAGAGGTAAGTTTATATTGATCATCCAAATGTATCCAGATGTTTCTATGATCTAATAGAGGTTTAATTTTTCAGATTGAGGAAGTAGAGCTCGTTTTGTTCGGTAGTTTTTTTTAAAAAGGTTTTGGTCCAGCTAGATCCCACTGATGATGCAACTAGCATTTTAAGCCACATTTCCCGGAAATAAGTCTGTTCCAGTCATTTTTAGGCCCATCTTTACATCTATACTGAGAGCTCAGACTGAACCACTTCATTCTCTCTGATCTGTTAGGTTGTGCATTTATTAACATCTCTGGAGCTCAATAGTCCTTGAATCAAAAGTAGCGCAGCACCAATGACCTGAAACCAGCTAAAACACACAAAAATGACCACTTTTTTTCCAAACATTAATTAAAGCTTTGGAGTACAGACATTAGAAACATTTTTGCTGCTTTCCCTTTATAACGGTTTAGACTTTCTGCCTCTGTAGTGCAGGCTGGATAATTCCATTTTGAGTTTATCCTAAGATACAGCAAACCCTTACGAGTGTTGAACCCAACTGAGAAGATCTGATGCCGTTTGCTCTACATGTGTCATTTTTGATGTTGTGAATTAAATAGACAACTTTTAGCGGTTTAGATACGAAACAGGAAGTCATTGAATTTTCCCCGATTTTGAAATCGACATTTGTTCGTCGTAGACGAACATCAACAATTTTATGAAAGAAGGGGATGGAAACACCATTAGATTAAGCACTAACCTGAGGCTCAGCTTAACTTGAGTTAAGGTGTTATACCTAATGGTTTGGACAAAGATGGGTTTTATTTTAGTTTTGGAGTCTTATCTCTGCAAGTTGGAGGTTTTATCTCACTGGCTTCACCAGTGATCCCAAGGTTGATTAATCTTATGTTTAAACTACTAACAAGTTTACATACATCTGTTTTGGGGATATTTAAGTAATCAAAAACTGTAGTTAAAAACTATGTTTAGACTATTTTCGGGGTAAAGTAGAGCATTTTATTTTAGATTAGCAGGGTAAAAGTGAAACCAACTAAGAGATCTTCTCCAGTCTGAATCCAGTTCTGATGTGTGGCAGTGCCATTGTATGTGTAGAATGGGAAGATAGTCCTCCTTCGTAGCACCAGTACCATGGTGCTACTGCCACCATGCTTGACAATTATAGTATTTTCATTGGTTTCATTGGCCCCTGATGATGCTGAGATAGCACTTTTTTGTGCTAGAACCAGATGTTTTGGTGGCAGAAGCAGAAAAACCTACGGCTGGTTTTATTCGTGGGACTATTTTAATGGAACAAAATCTTATTAGGTTATCAAAATTCCACCAGAAGGACAATAAATCAAAATTTTGAGGAAAGCTTGCTGCAGAGTTTGAGGATTTCTTAGCCAAACCAACCACCTCAGGCCACCGTAAAGCGTTTTATTTCCACTCAGACTCCGCTGTCCTCCATCAATCAGCCAGTATCACTCAGGGTCATCTGGAACATCTGCACAGTAATAAAACAACAAACTTTTATTGGACTTCTGTCCATCAGTATTCGTTATCAAAACAGAGGAGAAACTTCACAGTTGAACAGTCAGGTCCCCTGGTGTTGCATTGAGTTCAACAATAAGCGAGTGTTATTACTCAAGCCAAAGGAGCCTTTTCTCTTGTGCTGCTAATGAAAGCTGATCAGAATGAGAGATTGCGTCCGGCGTGTGTTTCGTCTCTGCTTGCTTTTTGCTCTCAGGCTGATAACGGTCAACACGCTGACAGCTGGACATCAAAACAGCGTGGCGGCGATTAGATCAACAGACACAACAATGGTGTTTATTTTCAGCATGTAATTGTAGAAGTTGAAGCACTGTGCTGAAATGTGTTGCAGCTGAAATGCAATATTTTGCCACCTGTCTGCCTGCTCATCGGAGGAAGCCAAGTTAAGGTTCCTCTAACAGGTAGAAGGCTAAGAAACAAGCTGCCCTCATCCTGATAAGAGATACATTCGAGAGAATTCAAGATGGCGCCACGGTGCCAGGGTGCTCGGCCTGCCGTCTGCTCTCTCTACTTCTCCTGTTTTTCCTGTTTTCTAGTATTCTAGTGAATGGTGTCAACTCCATCCTGGTGTATGACAGACTTTTGAAGCTTCGTTTACCTTTGAACTATGCAGTAACCAAAGCTACTGAACATCAGAAGCTGTTTCAACCACTGCTATTAGGTATTCCTGCTTACCTGTGGAGGCTTCGGAAAGGACGCCGCGGTACGCGCGGGGGCCGCTGTGTCCAGGCTGGAGTCGCCATGGCGATTTCCCGGGAGTCTATCCAGATTTGGCCGGCTGCTGTGCTCCATTCTCCACTTGCTGATTCTCCGTCTGTGCATTGGATCGTTTGCACAGAGGAGGCAGCTCCAGCGCGTCGCCCCTTCCATAGACGCGGGGTCAACCACGCAAACCTGTGCGCTTTCTCTGGACACCTTTCTGCCTCCACTTTGGATCTGCAGCTCTCTTCTGCTCCGACTCGCGTTAAGTTTGCTCTGCTTAACGCCCACTCCGTTGGAAATAAAACCGCTACCCTGAAGGATTATTTCTCTGATAAAGACCTGGACATTTTTTGTATTACGGAGCCCTGGATCCCCCCCGGTGACTCCGCTCTACTAACTGAACTTCTTCCTCTTGGGTGCTTGGTGCTGAACTCTCCCAGGCTTTCGGGCCACGGGGGAGGATTGCTGACTATTTTTAAAGCAAATATCCTCTGCAAGATGGTATCCTTACCAACCATCATCAATAGTTTTGAACAGATTTCTTTCGAACTGGGTAAAACCCATCCAGTCCTATGTGTGCTTGTTTATCGCCCCCCTAAATTCAATAAGGACTTCATTGAAGAATGATCAGAACTTGTGGCAGAAATAACAAAATATGAACGAGTCCCGATTATGGATGATTTTAGTGTTCATGTTTGCTGACCTGCCAAGCCCCTTGTGAAAGATTTTACTGACATACTTGATTCTTTTGCTCTTAAGCAGATTGTGTCGGTTCCTACCCATAACCAGTCTCATATTGTAGATTTAGTGATGTTTTATGGGGTAAATGTTAGTAATTTGTTGACGAAACTCATTTCTGATCATTTTCCAGTTTTATTTGATTTTGATTGTCTGGTGAGCTTTGGTAAAAGGCCTGTGGTGCTGCGCCAGACACGGGGTATTACCCCGGCTACAGCAGACAGATTTTGTGCTTCTGTCTTTGAATTGCCGGCCTCCCCCCTATTCTACACCAATCCGGATGATGGGTTTTTCACTCAGCCTGCCTCATGGTGATGGATACCATTGCTCCTTTAAAGGTTAGATGCCCTAAGCCAAAATCCGACCCTTGGTTAAATTCTCACACACATGAACTCAGAAGATTTTGCAGAAGGTGTGAACACAGATGGAAGAAGGATAAACTATCCATTTCCCATGAACTTTTTAGAAATGCGCTAGATGAAATTCAGAGAGTAGTCAGGAATTCTAGAAATAAATACTTGGCCAGCATTATTACTACCCATTCTGGGAACCAGAGGGTTTTATATAAAGCGCTAAATGCAGTTTTGTTAACTGATAACTCTCCAACGGTTGCAATCACAGATGATCTTTGCTCACCATTTTTAAGTTTTTTCCTAGACAAAGTCTCCAATATTAGGAGTCTAATCATTTCCCCTGGAGATGTTCTGCTACCCGTATCTGTTTGTACCGGATGCTTTGACCATTTTGAGTCGATCACACTGCCTGCCCTGGAGAGATTAATATCTTCCATGAAGGCATCAGGATGTCTTGATGACATTGTACCAGCCAGACTCTTCCGGGAGGTTCTTCCGGTGGTAGCCCCTTATGCGCTCAACATTATTAACTCCAGTCTTGTTTCGGTAATTATACCCTCCTTTTTAAACATGCAGTGCTTTAACCACGACTGAAAAAATCTGGCCTAAACCCAACTGACCTCAGGAACTTTCGCCCAATTTCAAAGCTCCCCTTCTTGTCAAAAGTGTTGGAAAAGGCTGCTTATAATCAAATTCTGCCCCATCTGAACAATTTTGGGGTCTTGGATAAATTTCAGTCTGGTTTTAGACAATATCACAGCACAGAGTCCACTCATATCAGGGTTTTTAATTATATTATTTTAGCCACTGATTCCGGTTCCCATGTTGCCTTGGTGATGTTGGACCTCTCAGCTGCATTTGACATGGTTGACCATGACATTTTCTTGTCCCGCCTAGAGAATTTGGTCGGCATTAAGGAATCTGCGCTTGACTGGTTCCGCT